TTAATAAAAAAAAAAATCACATAAAATAAACAAACTAAAGAAGAAGAAGAGTATAAAACGCGCACATTCGAAAATATTACTGCTTCCTAATTTAGTAAGAGTGAACCGAAAACCGATTTATTATTTATAAAACGCATCTAGTAAATCTAGCAAATCATCAAGCATACCATAAACCAAAATTCTTCTAATAACAACTTGTTTATTACAGCGAGAAAACACTTAAAAAAAGCAACTTAAAAAACAGGCCGCAAGAAAAGTCCACAAAGCAAAAATTGCGCAAAAAAAATTCTTCACACGCGTGTGAAATCTACACTTTGCATTCAAACCTACCTACTTACAATCCACGTCTACCGTCAGCTCCAGCACGCGCCGTACCACCAAAAACGGAGAGTTTACAGAAGAAGAAAATTCATCGAAAACCACGAGCAACTAACTGTAATTTAAATAATTAATTGCAAAATAACAGTAAATAGTGTCAGTCAAACGAAGAACACAAAGCCATTCCATTGTAAACTACGCAAATTCTAGTTCTAACCTCTAACTATCTAACAATTAAACGCAATTTGATAAAATCAAAGTAAACTCTACCCAACTACTTACAATATATATATATATATACATATATATAGAAATACTACTTACCCTATATACTATACATACCATACGAGTTAAAAAGCAAATTAATTAGAAAAAAAAAAAAATTAAATAAAATAAACCACAAAATCCAACAAACACAAAATGGAGGGTTCAAATAGTCCACGTGATATGCTGCTGCTCAATGGGCATGCCGAAGGTGCCGCGCATCACTTGGGCCTAACAAATGGCGTCGCTAGCGGCAGTAACAGTTTGCCAGCTGGCAATGTGAAAACCGATCACTTTAATGGTGATGATATATCGTCGAACAGTTTTATGTCCATTCCACAATTCTATGCGGGACGTAGTGTATTCATAACCGGAGGCACTGGATTTATGGGAAAGGTGAGTGAAAAAAAAAAACCAACTATAAACTACTTGTATGTATATGTGAATAAACGTTTTTGTTTAATTATTTTATCGATGAAAGCTTGCGTTATGAAATCGGAATTATAAAAGCTCGTGCTTAGATATGAAAGATTTTGTGGCATTATGAAAACACAAATTATAATAAAAATTATGAAAGAAAGAATACATATAAATTATAAATAAATAGAATACTTACATATAGAACAGGTGTTAGTGTGAAAGCTTCGAAAGGTAGAATATAAAAGCTTTCATGGTATTATGTAAGCTTCTTATTCTTAATTGGCGTAGACACCACTTACGCGATAATAGCCGATTTAACAACAGCGCGCCAGTCGTTTTTTCTTTTCGGTACGTGGCGCCTATTGGATTTTCCAAGCGAAGCCAAGTCCTTCTCCACCTGGTCTTTTCAACGGAGTGAAGGTCTTCCTCTTCCTTTACTCCCCCCCGCGGGTATTGCGTCGAATACTTTCAGAGCTAGAGTGCTTTCGTCCATACGTACGACATGACCTAGCCAGCTATCCCCAGTGAAAAATTACGAAGAGTAATCTCTACAAAAAGAAAAAAATAATGTTTATTATCTTTCCAAAGTTCTTTCTTTGGCATTTATTTTTTGAAGATTATTTCTTTAAAATGTTGGCCGCGGTTACGTCTTAAATAGTTCATCCGTTGAGTCCAATTTTCAGAGACTTGTTCGAGCATTTCGACTGGTAACTGGCGAATGAAACGCGTGATATTTTGCTCCAAGGCCTGAATTGAAGCGGCATTGTCCGCTTAGACTTAAGACTTGACCTATACCCACAGGATAAAGTCTAACGGTGTGATATCGCACGATTATAGTGCTCAATCCACAGGCGCAAAACGTGAAATTATCTGCTCACCGAATTGTTCTCTCCATAAATCCATTGATTGAGGCAATGTGTGAGAAGTGGTGTCGTCTTGTAGAAACACCAAATGTAGCCGAAATCACGAGCTTCAATTTCAGGAGTCAAATAAACGTTTAACATGGCGCCATAACGATCGCCATTGACGTTACATTCTCACCGGCGTTAGTTTTGAAAATATAAAGACCGATAATTCCACCATCCCACAAACTACACTAAACCGTTGTGTTTTCGGGATGAAATGGCATTACTGGGATCTCTTTAGGTTGCTTTTCGCCCCAAATCCGAAAATTTTTGCTGGTTTTTTATACATATTGCGCCACAAATGTGCCACATCGCTAAACAAAATTTGGCTCCAAATGTCAGATCATCTTGTAACATAGACCGAAACGATATGGGAGTGACTTCTCTCCCAATCTGGTCATTTTGTGATTATGGTAACGATTAGTATTAACAGCTTCCCCAGGGTTTAGAAACTCATGATATTCCACACCCTTCTGATCCCACCAAACACAGAGCCATTGCCTTCTAACCAAATCGATCGAAACCGAATTTCTGGATAAACCCATGATTATTTCCGCTTAGGCTTCTTAAAATAAATAAAATTTTCATCGCCAATGACAATTTGAAGCTTCTGATAGAGCATTATGACCTTATGCCTCGAGAAAAATTTGATATGATTCTGCAGCACTTGTTTTCAAATGGAGGCAAAAAGTTAATACTTTCCGCAAATCATAACTTTTCGGTACAAAATTTGAAATTTTCAGCTCAATGAAAAAATTTAATGTTATTTGTTCAATGACTGTAAGGTTTGACAGATGTCATGCCAACCAAACATAAAAAAAAATTAAGTCTCCTTCACAACAAATGTTGGTGTTTGCACAGAAAAAACTTTTTTTTTATTGAAGAACTTCTTCAGAAACATGGGGTGGTTCAGAGAGCACGTAAAAGTGTGAGCGAATTTTACTGCCGGTGATTTGACAATGGACACCCTGAAAGCCTGTCTGCTGACACATCGGCGCTACCTACCTTTGTATTCTAACGCTCACTTCATACCTGTACGCCTGATGTATGGAAAGAATTCGTATATCCAATTGTTGGTCGAGAGATGACTTTACTTCTCCATTGCCTACTCAGTCCGAAGTAGAACCTCTTATTAGTAGTCTGTAAAAAATTATTTAATTGTGGGAAAAAGGTGAAGTGGACAAGATAAGCATCTAAACGGATGGGTCCAACTGCTGGGAGGTGGGCTCTTTTCAGCAAAATGGGATACCAGAGTCGCCTTCCGTCTAGCAAGCCACTGCAGTATCTTCGAAGCGAAGATCCCAACCGTTAAAAAACAAAGCTGTCTTATGCTAACAATGAGTGTGTTCACAACCTAAAATATATTTAGATACTATACGTAGATATATAGCCAAGCGGTTGCGAAATCACTGAAGTCTTTTACACTTTCATTAAATATAGTAAAAAAATGTTTTTGATCTCTTGGCATATCCCACTATTTTATATTTATTCTATTCACGATAGTTTCGTTAAGAGTGGCAGAAGATTGTGATATTTGTGGAAACTGTAAAGCAGATGGCTAGTGGTTCATCACTAAAATTAGACTCCGAAAAAGGGGGTATTCACATGCCTCTGGATACTTGTACACATTTATTCGACAAATTTGTTATAAATATAGCAAAGTCTCGGTGAAGTCAATACTTAACTTGGTATATTTGGCGTACATGCCGACTGTTAAAATTAAAAAGCTGTTAATATGGTAGGAATGTTAATAAGACCACTGTTTAATTGCACACTGGGAACATCATACATTAACTATTGTATTAGCTGTGAGAAGATAGAAGAAAAGGAGACAATAGGACTATGCGAATGCAAATCTCTGTACAGGAAAATAATTGCAACTATTCTTCGATGGATTGTTGACAACTTTTCGGTGCTTGCACAGAAAAAACCTTTTTTTTATTGAAGAACTTCTTCAGAAACATGGGGTGGTTCAGAGAGTACATAATAGTGTGAGCGAATTTTACTGCCGGTAATTTGACAATGGACACCCTGAAGGCCTGTCTGCTGACACATCTGCGCTACCTACCTTCCTACATACATACGTATAAATACATATGTATTCAGGTACTACAGAACAAGTTACTTAACACACTAGCGACTTATTTTTCGCCCAAGCGCTTTCATTTACTCGTGTCAACCCCTTTTCTGCTTGTAATTTTCATGCATCTCACTCTTACATAATATATAAACCTGCTAAATTATCTTACTTGATATAGTTGCAAATCCCCCAACAATTTTTCAAAGCACGGTAATTACGAAATTCTTGACACAAAAGTGTACTTCAAATTACAATACAACAAAACAGAGACACACACGCACGCACTTGCATTGGTTGGCATGTTGCAACATTTGTTTTCATTTATTTATTCATTTGTTCATTCATTCATTCATTCATCCGCCCCATTGTTAGCTGTTTGTTTACATTAATTCGGGGTTTGTATTGTTGCCAGCTTCAAGCGGACATCACGCGGGCTCGGGCTCGGGCTCGGGCTCATCACGAAAATCTGTTGGCACATTTGCGAAATAAAAACGAGAAAAATACTAAAAGTTGGAGATAATGATAAATGACACTGAGACATTTGTTGCGCATTTCTTGCTGGAATTTCGGTTTTCGTTTTCTTCTACTGTCACGAGACAGCGTGCGTTTGTTGTAAATGTTCTTGTTGCATTAAAATTCCTATTCTACTTTTAATTCGGTGGACAAAGGCCGATGACGTTATTGTGTATTCATTTCTTTTTTTTCCCTCTCAAATTTAGGGCGCATAAAAGTGCGTGTGGCATGAATTAATTTGGTGAGTGGATCAAAATGTTTGTTGTGCGGTAGTTTTGAGCATTACATAAAATGAAATAATTTTTCTCTGAGGCAAATATATACGATACAAATAACCTTCTATTGTTTAATAGTTTTAATTATCCAGTTTAGTTATAGTGAAGGTTTTGCAATTTGAAAACTGAAAACTGAAGCGCTTTAAATTCTCTTTATTTTGAGTATTTGTCGATTCCAAAAGGTTCTCAAGAATTAGGACTGTCTCAGACCACAACCTGGCGGATTTTGAGAAAGGATTAGCGGTTGCATCGACATAGAATTCTTCTCACTTAAGAACTGAAGCCATTGGAGCACAGTAAACATTGCGAATTTGCTGTTTTTACCTTGGAATAACGATAAAGAAAACTGTCGATTCTGATGTTAAGAAAATCCACAAATTATTCATAAACAACCAACCACATTCACCTAAAATGGCAGTTTGGTATGGTTTTGGGTCTGGTGGATTCATAGGTCCATACTTCTTTCGAAATGAAGTTGGAAACATATTTACTGTCAATGAAACACGGTATAGATCGATAAGCAAGTTTTTATGGCCGCAATTGGAAGAAGTTGATTTTTATTTTGAGGGTTAGGGAAAGAGAAAATGCCGTCCGTGTTGTTGTCACAGCAATAATATCCCCCAGTTTGCTGCACTCTCCAGCATGTCGCTGATTAAATTGTCCGCGATTCGTCGGCTCCCACATATTTTTACTTTCGTATGCTAGAAGATCAATTGAGACATTACCGCTTATAACTAATATTGTATCACCTGACAATGTTCGGTAGGCTGAAGCAACTCTGAGGGCTGCATCACGATGTACTCTGGCCACTACCTTACGCCATTTTGTCTTTTTAAGCACATCTGCCTAGATCTTATTTCCGTATAGAAGGACGCTGATTGTCGCCGACTTTAGGAACTTTCTGTTTCCTTAGCTGGGGTCGCCTATGTTGGCCATTAGTCTGCTAAGTTGGGAGATGATTTTTGCTGACTTTCCTGCGGTGTGCTGGATTTGCACTTAGAAGATTAGGCTTGGGTTCCAGCCTTACGACTAAGTAATTAACAAATTTTTGTGGCCTTAGAATATCTTTAGTCGTTTACATAATTATTTCGAGGGGTATGTGCTTATTTGTTAGCAGTAGATTTATAATTGCAAGCTGGAGATTGTGTGAGTCTAGCCATGCTTGCGTCGGCATCATGATCTGTTTAAGCTTTCTTCGCGCTT